AACGGCCTCTCAATTTTACAACTATCTTAAATTAAACCTATTCTTTATATTGATGTGTACGTGTTCTTAATATCGAAGGATTATATTATTTTTTTTATATAAAAATTAATTATTTTTTAAATATAATTTTGATTTTTTTTTTATTTCAGTCTGACTTTATTTCTATTGTAAGATAAAATTATTATGTGTGAAAATTTAAATGTAACATATAGGTACTAACCAATATTATTTATCAATACTATAGTAAAATAAAGTAACAAGTATCAATTATTTTCATTTATTATAAGTAAATACATATATATTTTAATAATTTTATCGCTATATTTGTAAGAAATCAAAACATCTACAACTTTCAAATATCGTATGAATCTCAAATGTTTTAATCATACGTAATACAGCAATAAACGTTTATATTAAAGCATGATTTATATTTATTATCGATAACAACTTTCCAAAATATAAGTTAATTCATAAAATTTTGCTCATTATAATATTACATTAAGCTCTTGATTTATTAATACCAATGATCATTTATATTAATCAGTTATTTAATACGAGTTTGCACTAACAAACAGATAGTATGTCTATCAAACGTTTTTTAGTATAAAAACCTTTGAAGTATTTCATTCATAAACCTACACAAGTCACAAGTCCCAGTCACTGTTGAAGCTCCTCTCTACAACGATGGACCCGACACACGCATATGAATACATTGAATGATGATGATTCGTCTCTACGTATTGTAATGAATGGAATACTTTAACGTCTAAACTATCCGTATACAAACTTGTAGTAACGTAGTTTAGTGAGTGAAAAACTATCTATATTTAGTTTCGAGATACAAACTAATGTTAATTTTACTTTTGATTTATGTATGCCGTCTGTTGAAATCGCATAAATATAGCAAAGATTAATTTGTCCAAGCCGTCTCATTTGTCGTTGTTATTATGATGGATTTTATCTAATTTGGTATATTTTAATAGGTTGACCTAATAAAGTAACTATTATAAAAATCTTATTAGTGTAGGTCTGTTCGTCAAATCTTTAATATGTCCTTTTAAGATGCAACTTACTTATACTTATAGGTCTAGTTATGGATAAAAAAAATTATTTTAGTCGTACGAAGAAGATACGTAACAATGTTTTATTCTTTTAATTTGCATTTTTGGGGTTTGGGTGTAAAAAGAAATATGTAATATTAGTTAAATAACAAAATATACTTAAAAAACGAAATACAATTTTGATAACATAATTGTTATTTTTAAAGTAAGAAATAAATTTAAATCTATGGTTCTAAAATCTTGTTATAATCTATAATTTATAGTTCCTTAATTAAATTCTAACATTATTTAAAACGACGATAACGAACGATTTTAAGTCGACCTAGAATCTAGATAATAAATTTATTAATATATTATTATTAATTGCTACTAATCCTGACCATAATATAGAACCATAAGATTTAAATCTATCGAAATATTATTTTATGAGCTAGTTTTCCTTTAAAAGGGATGCTTACATATAGTGAATGAAAATTATTTAATAAAAATAAATTAATATTTAGATGCTAATTTTCGGTAAATTTATTTAAATACAGTTTATTTCGACAAGATTTATAGGAGTTTGTTCTTATATGTAATATATAATATATTTAAAAATATACTAAAAGTAACTAACGGAGAAAAATTATTTGTAATCACCTTTTAAAAAAATTAAAACCAATTTTGTTGACAGAACATGATTCTTAATTTCTTACTGAATATGAAGAAGATAATTATTTTCTATGTATGTGTAACAATATACAAACACACATAAAATCATCACTACATACGTTATTTCTTTGATTCAATATTCTAACTAATTTCTCATACATTTTAATATAAACAAAATCGAATACATTTTTGTATAATTCTTTCTAATAGTTTAATAGCAATCATAATTTACTAGCACGATTTAACTTTATATATATAATTTAATTTATAATTTGTAATGATTTGTTTACACGCCTCAAGCTGAAATCTGACTATTTGTATTGCGACACAACTATAGCTAACTGCCTCTTTTGTAATAGAGTTATTCTCAATAACTGATATACAAAACTATTAATACATTGAATTTATATAAAAGAATATATTTATACAAAACTAACCAATTAATTTGTTTATAGCCTTTTAATATCATTCAATCAACCAGTCATCAATCATGCATTTGATTGATAGTGAAAAGAAATGAATTACTTACTAGTATTGATTAGAAATATAAGCATAGTTGTATGACAAAATATAAGTTTTAAATGAAACTCAGTTTTTCTGATACTAGGTATTTATTTATTTAGTTTTCTTTATAACAGCAATGATCATTGGTTGACGAAATTTAAGTGTTCACGGTTACTGTAAACGAACCGAAACGATGGGATTTTGATGTAAAAAAAATAGAAATAAGAAAAAACTTAGTCTCATTTAAGTGAGTAAACACGAAAATCTAAAATGTAATTCCTAACCATGTTTGTAATACATGAACTGGGAGTAATACTGATTACTATAATTATTAGATGAAGCAAACGCTCTGATTTAAATTGTTCTGCCAATTACTTACATGATATTCGATTCATGTTATTCTAGTTAAACTTACCTTGGTTAAATATTTACTCTTTCATCATATATAAAACAAAATAATATAGAATTAGAGTATCTACTAGTAATTTAATATACTTTCTATAATATCAAATTTCTGACAAATAGTGTATCCATTAAAAATAGGTACAAATTTTTCAAAATCAACCAAAATTTTTGACAATTTTTAATTTGGTAATATAGTTGATTTATCATTTTATGTTTTTTACTTTTATTCTTCAACATCGCATGACTTTTTACAATTTCCATTACTACAAAATCCGTCTCGTAATATATATCAAACAATTTATTTTATAACTTAGGTGTTGCTAGCTTATAATTATATTATTAAATACGACGGCTGAATGTCGTGTCTGTCAAGTTTAAATTAATTTTTAAAAACAAATGGAAATAACTTAATAAAACTGTCTTATTAGTAATATTTATTAAGTAATTCTCTTTTTAATCACAACTCCATAAATATAATAGAGATGCGGTTAAATTTATTCATATAAAAAAAAAGGTTAATTGCGAGTAATCACTAGCCAGTTAATGTTAACTAGATATTTTCTTTGATAAAAAAACGACGAAGGCTAGAATTAAGAGGATCGTTAGCTCTTAAACGTTATTAATAAGACGTCGAAATGTCGAAAATAATTGCCGGTCGCGAGATTATTGCTTATCAAACGAATCGATATAATTAATATGGTTTTATGTGTTATTTTGTGCTCTTTAACAGGAATAAGGAGAATTCTTAATCAAAATTTACATAGTTGTAAAATCGTCAATAAATATACAACTTATTTCTTAACTTTGTATTAATATTAATTTAAACTCGTAAGCAATAGAACATTTCATCAACCCACAAATACAATAAAATTCTAATATAACACAGAATATCAGTTTTCATATTCATATTCGTTACCAATTTGTAAATGTATAACAAAACTAATTTACAATATCAACGTAACCCTTAAAGTAACCAACTCTGATCGGTTTAAGTCAAGTGACGTAGCGATTTGAAAATATATTTTTTATATGAAAAAAATTACTTGTTTACTATTAGGAAATTAATTGGTTAATTACATATTAATATTCTTTTATTTTTAATAATAACAAAAAATTATAATTATAAAAACAATAATCCATATAAAATCACTTTTTTTTATTGAATTGAATTTTATATATTTTTGAACGTACCGCCATTTTGACATTAATTTTTCCCGCCAAAAACAAACGGCTAACATTATTAAGGTATATACACACGCGTCTTTAACAGCGGAGGGTCTACTTACCGTGTTACCAATTTGTAACGAGATTCTATCCTGGATCATTAACCCGCATCTTACAGTATGTTATACTTATTATTATATGAAAGCAATTATTCTTTTGTTTTCCCATATTAAAGATACGTTCAAATCATTAATTTTATGATGAAATATTTTGCTTTATCCGAGTCTTAAAACTTTAAATATTTAGAAATAATGTATTGTTTTAAACAAAACTCAGTGAAGTTCAAAGAAGGTCAGATGTCTGTCTGTGTGGTCTTAAACAAGAAGTGTCACGTAATAAATAATGCTAACAATTGTAAAGGATCTCATTCTAAAATCTAAACATGTTTATTTTGTGCAACACAAGTGTCGTGTTACGATTTTGGCCTATGGCGAACCGTGAATTATTACTTCCTAAGAATGAGTTTATATAAACAAATTTTTAAATTTGGAATGTGTTTAAAAAAAAATTTCATTAATGAGTTTCCTGTAAGTAGGTTTCATTAAAAAAAACACTTGAACATCCGATACCGCTAAAGAGGTTTGTTATCTGTACAATGAGTTGTATGTCAAAATATTATGTCCCTCATACCACGCCGACGTCATACCTGGCGCCAGTAAATAAAAAATACTTTTTTGTGCATCAGAAAACTTTATGAAATACGCCGACTTTGATTGATTAATATTATTTTTTAATTTACGTATTTTTTAAACGTTTCCAAACATATTTTAGGTCTACGTATTTCTCTCAAAAACTGATAAATTGTATTTAGGGATGATAAAATTTTAATAATTAGCTTAGGTTTCATTAATAAGAAAATAAAATGATTTCGGTCTTTTATATTAAAAATGAAATCGACATTGTCATTCTGTTTTTGTTTGAATTATGAGAACTCACGCTCAATTAATAGTTAATTATGTTTTAACTAATACCCTCCCCAGAACAAATGGTCCGCTCTCCAATATCAGTGGTGATTGTTCTTTGTATTAACAGTATCCTGGCGCCTCGTCGTAATGAAGATTTCCTCCATCCCTTTTTGTCAGCCATGTCTGTTTGTTTATCCATCAGTTATTATACTGTTTTAAATTCACCGGTACATCGCCGTCTCTCTCTAACCTACACTATCCATATATATGCATCTCTGTCACGTCTGTCGCTCGAGTTTGTTTTGTGCGTGACGGGCCCCGCCTGCTTCTCTGCGGCAGAGCGGTCGCTTTGACCGGTAGCACTCGTTATCTTGAGTTTTTTCAACCGGCCCGTGTGTGTCCGGCCTAATATTTGTGTAGGGCGACCGAAAAAAGTCAATTTGTATGCAGTGGGAGGCGCAAAAGGTGCTGTTGCTTGCTGTGGCTCGTTTATTGCCATGCGTTAATTACTGTGCGAGTTGATAGAAAAAAATTATATCATAAAACCTATTAGCCTTCTAAGTTTTGGTTCAATCGACCCGACGTAATAAAAGTTTAGTAAGTATTTACTGTAATTCTTACATTTCTATTTTCCCTTCAAATGTGATCGCTAATGAGACTTCGTAATTCTAGTGATTTGTCGTCGTTCCGTGATTTAGAACTATTTGGTAGGCTCGCGATCTTTGCTCGATACGCCAGCACGCGATATGCTGTTAATAGTTTATATCTGACACACAAATATAAGCTCTACTAACTATTGATATCGACCATAATTGCTTACAGCAAATTGAAACATTCTGTGAAACTTTGTGGCCTATTTGTAAATGGCATAATATTGTATACGGTAACTAGAAATAGAAGTGACAGAAATATTAAATTATTTCAATTTGTACCTTAAATATGATGTTGATGAATTTAAATTATGTAAGTAAATTTATTCAAGAAAAATTTTGCCTTTAGTTTTTTTTTACATTATTTTTCGATGCACTTATTGTATCTTATTATAACTTAGCGCCTTTATAGACAAATAAAAATTAGAAAAATATTGCTTTTACTTTAAAAAAATCTATTAAAAAGTTCCTAAATATACCGTTTTATATAATCTATTTGTACATATATACATCTGCTTTAATTATACTGAATCCAATTTAAAAGGAGCAATCTCTATAAAAAACACGAAACCTTTGTAAACGGGAATTGTTGATTTATTTATAATAGAATTATCCAGCGGTAAACATCTCACCCTTAAAGTTATGTTTTATAATCGACACTTGCCACTAGCCACCCTCCTCACAGGCCAACGCGCGCGAACAATACTTTTCAATGTTATTCTGTCATTTTCCGTTCCACTACGCAGACATATTGCGTCCTTTATACACTGTTTACCAATTCTATGCTTCCGTGATTTAAAATGGACGTTTCTTTTCAATATACACATATATTCTACCTCAAATCCATTATTATACATCATATAACTCAACCAAAACTATGTGAGTTTAAATTAAATTTCTTCTGACAATTTCCCAGCTACAGCCAGGGTCTGCCTTACATATTTGTTTTTACCCAAATTAAATTTCTTCTTTATAAACTTTAATCAATCCTAATTCGCTAAGTCTCAACATTAATGTGATTTCGTTTTAAAACAGTCCCTGTGTCAAATTAGTATTAACGAAACTTGCAATCTGTGTTCCGAGACGAATCTCCCCCTGAATAAGCATGAACTTTAAACATTAGCGGCAGATTACTCGGCTTTGTCTGGGTAAAGAAAACCGTAATGTATTATCTGACACAATACATTGATTGTTTTAAACAACCACCTCGTTCTTTGTATTGGAGACTGCGGTAATGTAAAGGGTGCGATTTTTGTTAATCGTCCGTATTATTACATCTATACGCCCGTGAAATTAATTGTTCCCTGTTTTCGGTGTTGATTCAATAAATTTACACACGTCGATGATTTGTCATTGATTTGTTTTATTGTTAGCGGGATTTAGGGATATAATAAGGGATTCTCTAATAAAAAAACTTATTAATTTGGCAAATAATCTTATATATCCCTACTAATATTATAAATACCAAAGTAACTCTGTCTGTCTGTCTGTCTGTTACGCTTTCACGCATAAACCACTGAACTGATTTTAATGAAATTTGGTACAGACATAGAGTTGACCTGGATAAAGAACATAGGATAGTTTTTATCCCAGACTTTTGAAAGGTTCTCTAGGAAACGAGACATTAACGAACTCCACGCGGGCGAAGCTGAGGGGGGAAAGCTAGTAGTTTTATAAATCAGATAGAAGACTCCTGAACACCTTTAATTCAGTTAAAATAAATTATAAAACCTTTTTCGAACTAAACCAAAAAAAAAACATATTAAAACATGACGAGAAGTTTTTTGTACAAATATTATAAATTGATTTAACATGCCTATAAAGGAACAATTACCAAAAAAGCAGGTGCATCCATATTCCTTGTAATTTTCTATGATAGAGCGTTTTGTTATTATTTATCGAGTCACATGATATTACAGTATTAATATAAATTCTGAAATTATTTACAACATTTACTGTAGCCTGATTGAGTAGTTTAAATTATGTTTTAAACTAGTATTTATTATTGATTTTTAATCATTTAAATAAATAAAAAATCTAAATACCTATATATCTTTTTTTCATTTTTGTGTTATATTTAGAATATTTATTTTTTGGAATTAATTTATATTTTATATATAAATATAAATTATAATATGTTCCATTTTAAACATGTCCGATCATATTTATCGATATTCAATCAAAATCGTCTAATTGAAGCTCACATCTGTTGGTATTCTGCCAGACTTTATCAATTATTTAATACAATTTGGCTACTATCAATCTTGATACAGTTATACGTTTATATTATATGCTTTTAATATTATATTATATATACATATATATTTGAGAATAAGGTAATTAGAAGTTGAAACAATATGTAAGGAAAGGATAGTTTGGGTCGAAAAATGCTTTTTCTTTACAGCCATATTTGGGCAATATGTTGAGTGTAATGAAATTTAATTTATTCCTTACGGAGAAAAGATATAAAAATCTTTAATTTCAAACATTAAATATACTTTTTCAACCCATACGATACATCAAAATATATACAATTAAACTTATATATGATACAAAATAAACAGAAATTACTTCAAAACAAAGTAACACGTTAGAACTCAACGCGCGGTAGCGATGAAAAGATAAAGATATATCAAAACACAAAATTAAAGTAATAACACATCTTATGTACCATTAACAGAAAACATTACAAGGAATCATCGGAGCGTGCTTTGTAAAGATAAAAATACATACATGAATATGAAATATCTTAATATTTTAATATCAAACACCATTACATGCTCTCTTGGTACATTGATTTAATATTCTCTAACACTTTATTTGTATTCAAAACGTTAATTTGTTACGCCTGAAACATTATTTTAATATATACTAACTAACACGATTATCATGCCTTACTTATATTTAAATTTTTAAATTGTCTCTACCTACTATTTTTAACGTTTGTTTTGAAAATATTTAGAACAATTTTCCGCCCGCAGCTTCGCCCGCGTGGAGTTCGTTTATATCGCGTTTCCAAGAGAACCTTTCAAATGTCTAGGATAAAAACTATCCTATGTTCTTTCTCAAGGTCAACTCTATCTCTGTACCAAATTTCATTAAAATCAGTTAAGTGGTTTAGGCGTGAAAGCGTAACAGACAGACAGACAGACAGAGTTACTATCGCATTTGTAATATTAGTATGGATTTATTCGTTACGTGTGTATAAAAATTACTTTATTATAGTCATTGATGTAAAATATAATCATCATAATAATAAATCGATTGAAGCGTCACAAATAGGAATAAAAAAGTATTGTCAAGTCGCGTTCAATTTTCAAATGGCATCCACCTGAGCTTGCGCCCTGCCGAGTCCGGAATCGATTATCCGCATCGGTATTATAATCGATATATAACATAATGTATATATCTATGTAGCGGAAACTATGGTAGAAATAAAATTTGACTTATCCATTTAATTTCCAAGTTAAAACATGAACTGCATATATATTTATATTATGGTCAAAATTTTTCTGTATACATTATTTTATTTTATAATACATCGTTATCATAATCATATAATAAAAACTTCAATACGACTTCATTATTATGAAACCATGGATAGTAAAAAATCATAGAATTTATACCAGTCATAGTCGACAGGTCGTTATAGGCTAGGCTACAATCACAGTAACAATATAACGACGATATACAAAAAATAGAATCGATATGTACTTCCATAAACGAGTTCTTAGTACAGACTATAAACAGAAGCACGCGCTGTGGACAATAAATGCATTTTTTATCTGTCAAAGTGTTGACAGTTAGTTTTTTTTTTTTTAATAGCAATGCAATGTCTATGATCGCTATTGTTCATTCTGATTTCGAAACGACGTCATTTTTTATTGCATTTTAATGCAGTTTTGTTATTGTGACAGGAAAATTGAGATGTATAAATGAAATATCTTCATTTATCTTTTATTTGATGAGACCTTTTGAAAATGGAGTCTTATTAATATTATTTATACTCTGTAGTTGACAATAAATATCATACAATCGTATATAATCTGTATTTAAGCACATATTTAGTTCATTACCGTCTTATTACAAGGTGACGTGAGTGGCAGCTTCATCAGTAACAATGTATATCTATTGTTTACTAGTGACTAACAGACCAATTATAATAACAGTTTAACATATACAGATGTATGATATGATTTTAATGTCATATTATTTGTATGGATACAATCTTTATTATAATAACATATATGTATATATATGTACATACTTTGTATTAGTATTAAACTTTCTAATAAAAACAAAGTTGTTACATTACAAGAACATTTTTTTATATAAAACCTTTTCGGTGTAAATATATTTTTGAATTTAGAACGTAAAACTACCTACAAGATGGTGGACTGTTAGAGAGTATTAATCCGGGCGACAGTTATGACGGGGCGTGTTCATTTGTCGAGCCATTAGGCGGGCGGAATGCGACGTCATCAGGAGCCGGCGGAGCGTGAAATGGAAAACGCCCTGACAATATCACCCCTATCCCCTATCCCCATCCCCATCCCCATCCCAATCCCCACCCATCCCCATCCCTATCCTACTAAACGAAAATTCTTCGACAACTAACTCCGTTGATATGATGATTGCGTTCCGGATTAACTTTTATTAAAAGACGTGATTTTAAGACGGGATCTACGAAATATATACAATAAAATACATCATATATTTATTTTTTTAAATTATTAGTACTGTTTTTACTATTATAAAGATTTTTTGAATTTAGAATGTTAATCTATTAATATTTCTAGGTACCTATATTAAATAACATCGCTTTTGAAAGTAAATAAGTAGGTACGTC